CGCTGGCGGGAGCCGCGGTCGCCCGGGCCGAGATTGGGGGGGCAAGGCGGGCGACAGAAGGCCGATGCCTCCGTCGCCCGGCCCTCTACAGAATCCACCCCCCAAACCTCCAGGTATTTCCCTCCTTAGAGCTGGCAACCCTACATTCCCCTCAGTGCCTGTTGGTAGGCAACTAAGCTTGGTCCTGTCACCTACTTTGGCCTTTGGGAGAAAACACATTGGGGCCAGTCCTGATAGGGTTGCCAACTCCAGATGGGAAATTCCTGGAGACTTGAGGGATGGAGCCTGAAGAGGGTGAGGTTTGAGGAGGGGTGGGACCTCAGACAGGTACACTGCCATAGACTCCACCCTCCAAACCAGTCAGTCTCACATAGGGAACCATTGTTGCCAATCTCCAGGTGAGGGCTGGAGAGCACTCAGTATTACAACTGTTCTGCAGAAGGGAGGGCAGAAGTCAGCTGAAGTCAAAGGGGCAGATAATGGTAGGTTGGTGGCTAGCTGGGAAGGAGATGGGGTTGCCAACTACATGCTGACAAATTCCTGGGGATTTGAGGGGTGGAGCCTAGAGAGGGTGGGGTTTGCAGAGGGGTGGGACCTCAGACAGGTAGAATGCCATAGACTCCACCCTCCAAACCAGCCATTTCGTCCTGGGTAACAATTGTTGCCAATCTCCGGTGAGGGCTACAGATCACTCAAAATTACAACTGCTGTTCAGGGAGCAGAGATCAGTTCCTCTGGAGAAAACAGTGGACTCTGTCATTATACCCTGCTGAGGTCACCACAGCAAATTGACACTTTTTGCCCAAAGCCAGAGCACTCCCCCAAAGCCTCTTTCTAGATCTCGTTGTATTTATTTCCACAATGGGCTTTACGGCTAGTTGGGGATAATGACACACAAGTTATTAAAATGTATTTGGACCGGGCCCTGTTGCAGTAAAATTATCTGTGGATATTCAACATGCAGCTGCATGGAATCAATCAGAATAGTTTTTAGACAGTTTTTAGTTCCAACTTGAGAGGTAGAAAGCATTTGTCAGCCTATTTAAAAAGGAGGCTTCTAGCCGGGTAGAAAAGAGGACTGATGTGTGCTACCACTATAAACAACCATGGAACTAGAAGCAAATTAAAAGTTATAAATAATTTTTTTAAAAAAATTAAAAATGATAACAATATTCCATTCAGCTCCATGTTTATTTTCATTCCAAATAACCCTGTTTCTTCCAGGATAATTTGAAGAAAGTAAAAAAGAAGATAAGCTGTAATCATTGAAAATGGAACTAGAAGATAATTTAATAGAGCCCAGTTCATTTAAAGACTAAACACATTTTTTGTTAAAAGTGGAAGTAGTATACAGGAGTTCAGCCTTTAGCAATCTTGTTAGTGTTTTATACCTTTAAGAAAGGGGTATTCAACATGCAGCTGCATGGAATCAATCAGAATAGTTTTTAGAGAGTTTGAGTTCCAACTTGAAAGGTGGAGAGCATTTGTCAGCCTATTTAAAACGAAGGCTTCTAGCGGGTAGAAAAGAGGACTGATGTGTGCTACTAAAATAACTAGAGAGCAATTGAGCCAGCAACTTGAGATAGAGAGCAATAGCCAACCAATTTTAAAAAAGAAGGCTTCTAGCTGGATATAAAAGAGGACTGGTTGCTACTATTAGAAATAAATTAACTGGCTTGCTCCTAATTCAAATACTTTAAAAGGAACTAGAAGTAAATTAAAAGTTAAAAATTATTAATCATTTCAAAAAATTATAACAATACAATATTTCATTCAGCTTCATGTTTCTTTCCATTCTAAATACCCCTGTTTGTTCTAGGATAATTTGAAGAAAGTAAAAAAGAAGTTAAGCTGTAATAATTTGAAAATGGAACCAGAAGATAATTTGAAGAAAATAAAAAAGAATTTAAGGTGTAAAAATTTGAAGAAAGTAAAAAAGAAGCTGAGCTGTATCAAGAGGCTGACACCTTTCAATAAAATAGGATTGCTCCTGAGGAAGATTGGTGACATGAGTTTATAACCCCGGGTGCTCATTGAGAATGATGGACTTTTCCTTGAGAATGTTAGAATTTCCTTAGTAATATTGTAAAAGTTTCTATTGTAATATAATTTGATGTTCATAAGATTTATTAAATGTCATTAACCGCCCACCCAGCGGTTCAAAAGCCCGTTAAAGGGCGAGTAGATGAATGGGAACCTACCCTTAGTAGGGTAGGGGCACCCCCCTCGTCCGAGGAGTGTGGTGTGCGGCGGCAGCAGCAGCGAAGGAACAACAACAATGGCAGCGACGGCGGCAGTGGATCCTGGCAGCAGAGACGAGGCGGCGCTACGGAACATCGAGAGCCAGTGGAGCGATCCCTGGTGGCCTGCGGAGTTCCAACAGAAAGCGGCCGGCGCGAGCAGCAGAAGGTGCGGATGACGTCATCTCCCGGCGTGGCGGAGCCTATCGGACGGAGCCAAGGCCAGGAGAGACGAACTCACACACCGAGACTGCTGCCTTGCTGGAGAAGAACTGCGCCGGAGAGAGGAGCGTCCTGCTGACCGAAGGAGCCAAGGAAGCCGAAGCCGGAGACCAGAAGGAAGAGCTGCCACCACAGGGGTGCTAGGTAGGCTGACCCAACCCCTGAGAATGTGCCCATAGTTAGGGATCCATAAAAGTGATTAGCACTACAATGTTGTAAACCGCCCAGAGACCCCCATTGGGGGGGGGGGTTAGGGCGGTATATAAATTGAAGGTTAAATAAATAAAAAATAAATAAATTGTCATTTTTATCACAGTGTTTGTTTGTTTGATATACCACCTGGAAGATGGCAACCCTAGCACAGCCCCACTGTCTATGAAGCTGTACTTCAAAGTTCATTCTGATTCACAGAATGTTGATTCAGGGTTATTTATTTTAAAAACATGCAGCTCACCCTTTGACAAAGAAATATGTAAGATTCTAGAACAGAATACAATGGGAGTTCATTTAATGTCTGATAAGTGCCTTGTTGAACAGATCTCATGAAACTAAATTACTCAGAGGAAGGCTTGTTAGTAGTATCCATTCTGCTTAAGGTATGTTGGCTATCATAATTTCTCTCTGTTGCATAATGATTTTTTTTAAAAAAAAACTGTCTAATTAAATAGATACGTGTAGCAATTGTAAATATACTGGATTCATATAACAGATTTCAGTAATATAGCTGTTCATAAGAAAAGTCATGAACACAGGTGTTGTCCAGCGAAGCAAAACGTAATGGTTATTTCCAGGGAGAATTAGCAAGAATGAACATGTGATTTTTACTTCCTTTAAAATTTGGATGCTACTACTCTAATCTCTGAAATAATTCCATGCCCAGTTGAGATGGGTTTACCCAGGAGAATCAAGGGGGAGGGGACAGAGTTCAATCCCTCCATCCTCAGAGTGTGTATGAGCATTGGTTAGTCCCCCGTAGTGGCGGGAGAGAGTCAAGTGGGAAATGCTCTCACAGAAAGCAGCTTTTAATTGCAAATTTATTTATTTTCATTTACAGTCTGCCTTTTTTACTGGGACTCAAGGTGGATTACAAGTATGACAGGACTATTCAGTCATTCAGTAAGATGATTACAAAATATTGTAACATTTGAATGATAACAATATTTGAATCTAACGGCAAAGATTCCTCGTTTTTTAAAAAAACTACTCAATCAGCAAACAGATAACATGTACTAAAGACATCTTACTTAGACTGCCTTTGTAATTCCACTTTCTGTACTGTTTGTAGTATAATTTGTCTTAGACAGTTTGTTGTTTGGATTGTGTTCTAATACTGTAACCCTAGTCCTCTTGCATTGTTCACCAAATGTCCTATGATGTCTGAATCCTGTATCCTGTAATTCACCTTGAGTCTCGGTGAGGAAGGCAGACTATAAATAAAGTAAATAAATAAATCTTGGGCAGTGTTGTACTTTAATAAGTATTTTAAAGGCACTTTACAAATAACATTCTTAATTAATCTTCCAAAGAAATTGCAAACAATACTGGAATGGTCTGTAAAAATAAGATCACAAATCTGTACAAATACGTTTCATGCATAATCAAATGTCATTTCTATTTAGCAGGTATGCTTTCTATTGTTTATGGGGATATAATGTATGTAGTAAGGGTCTGTGTGAAGGAACATGTTTATAGCTTATGACTCCTGGGTGTTTCATAACTTTGAAGTCTGAACCAATATCAACATACATATCTTTACTTCATTTATACCCTTTCTTTCTCCTCAATGGGGACCCAAAAGCCACTGACATCATTCTCTTTGGCTTTATTTAATAGATGCAAGCCAGTTCAGCGATGCCTTTGGCTCCCCTCCCCTGCTTGGAACCTGCACAAACCCAAATGGGTTCATTAAATGGAACAGTTTGTGGAGGTTCATGAACCATGGTTCATGAAACCCCACGAACCACCACAAAACTCCATTTTCCTGGTTCTTTCCATCCTTAGTGGTGACTGGTCCAACGCCACCCAGCAAGGGTGATCTACCAGAAGCCTGGCTTCCTTCTACCCTCCTAGAAATCACAACTTCTAAGCTATAAGCCCTCGCACCAAATCTCAGATATCTGGAGGCAAGATATGATTACTGAAGGGTCAAGGAAAGGCATTCTGAACATGCTCAAAGGTACTCTCATTTTTCTTCACATGTTCACATGATTGTTAAGCCCTGGCATAAATTCTGCCCTATCTATAGAAATAAGTAAATAAATAAAATTCATTTTCTGGATCTTGTTGACACTTTCCTTACCTGGCTGCTTGAGAGCCAAATGGGGCTCCTGTAAAGCCCTTTGGTTCCATGCTCCATCCTCTGGGGTCTGGAATATAGGAAGAACCACTTTCTTGACTGGTGACGACAGCTAAGACTACCTTTGGAATTTCACTGCCATGGCAACATCAGACGCTTGAGGTTCTGTTGCCATGGGAGGGGCAAGTGTCCAGGGCAGTCTGCTGTGTTCACAAGGAAGTCTCAATGTTCAAGCAGCTGGTCCAGCTCAGCATCAGAACACACATGGAAGAAATGTGACCTTGATGGGATTTGGGCTTTTCTAAATAGCAAGTTCCTCTCCAGCTTGCTTGTACTGAGGCACTAAATTATGAGTAGATAAAAGGTACTACATTAGTGACTACAACAAAAGCTCTTTTTAACTGGAGCCTGTGTTGATATTGCTAGAGCCTAATCTGCCACTTGGATTAGTATGGTAATCAGAACAGGGATTGGACCAGCCCACCCCATGTGATTTGTAGGTGTGAGGTGCTCTGGCACCTGAGAAAGGCCATTCACATCTGTTTGGATGCTGATACCCAAGATTGAAAAACATGCACCTTGTAATAATAGTGAGCAGGGCCACAAGTGTTTAATTTACTCTGACAGTTAGCAACTAATCCCTCAATTCAAATATTACATCTGCTGTCATTGTACTGTATAATGTAACCCAGTGGTGAGCAAGATTTATAGCTCCATAGATTACAATTGTATGCTTCTGCCCCAACTCACAAAACCACCCTGTCTGCACTTTCTTGTGAGTGGTGGTAAGCAGTGCCTGTGTTTAATGTCTGCATGAACGCAAAGACAGGCAGGAAGGTGGTGCTGCCCTTGCTGTCTATGTGTGAGCACTAGCAACAGGTCCTTTCAAAAGATAGTAAAAATAATGACAGCTGTACAGGGGTTTGCAACCAGCAGGGTCCCAATTCTTGGTTTGTAGTCCACTGCACTGTAAGATGTTGCATTTCTTGCTGGGATAAACCTGCATGCATTCCATATTCTCACACTACTGGCACAGTGCATCTTGGTCCTTTTGATCTTTTACATTTTTATCCCACTTTCCCTCTAAGGGGTTCAGGGTGGCAAACATGATGCTTCATCTTCATCCTCACAACAACCATGTGAGGTAGATTAGGTTAAACAAAAGTGATATCCCCAAGGTCCCCCACTGAACTTCATGGCTGACTCAAGTTTTGAACTTGCATCTTCTTGGCCCTAGTCCAACACTCTAACCCAGGGTTGTCAAACATAAAGCCCAGGGTCCAGAATCAGCCTATTGAGGGCTCTCATCTGGCTCACAAGCAACTGGTGTGAGGGAGACAAGGCAGGAGGCTGCTTGGGGGGGAGTGGGCAAGTGGGTGCATGCAATGAAATGTGTGTGGTTGAAGCTGTTAAGAAATAGAAAGGAAATTGCTAGGGGGCAGGATTTTGTGGCTGAGGTGAAATAGTGTGGGGGTAATGGCAGTGAATCCAGAGAAAGAGGAGATGTGGTGTTTTTTCCCTCCCGCCTCCTCTGACACAGCTCAGCAACAATTGGCAAAGTCAATGAAGGGGCGGAGCCAGACAGCCGGCATTGCCACCACCACATCAAACAGTGACCATGAAGGGGGTTTTCAAGAGCAGGTTCATGGAGCAGCGGTTCGCCGATGAAGGGATGGGGCCAGCAGGGGAGAAAGGAGGTGGAGGGCTGGCCCATGGATTGGGAGGCAACTGGGCTATCTTGTGCATGCTGCTCTGAGGGGAAAGACCTCCCAGCCCCAGAAGCGAGTGGAGGAACTTTGGAGGTTTCGGAAACAGCCTCTCCATCAGGCCTTCTTCTCCGCCCTGCCACTTGTGTGGGAAATGCAAGAGAGATGAGAAGTGGCAGTGGAGGATCTGGGAGAGCCAGGGTCAAACCCCCCTCCCATCCTGAGCCAGGGACCGGCCGGGACCGGTCTCACCACCTATCATGGGTGGTGGTGGTAGGGATGGGACAAATTAGTTCAACACCTCAGCTCTAACCACTGCACCACACTCTCTTAAGCACCTACTAGATATGATGGGTACAGAAGGTTGCTGATGGACCATTCTTTGTTAATCTTATCCCTTGCTAATGGCTAGAAATAATCAACAGATATTTTTCTCAGTTGATAGTTTGGGTTGTTAATCAAAGAACCTTAATGTTCCTTGTAAATGGCTCAGTTTTCCCTGAAGGTGTAGAAACCAACCTTCAGAAGCTTCTATTAGAGCTTTGGGAAAGTGACAGTCCCTGGAACTTATGAAGAGGCTGAGAATCAGTTTGGAGTCAGTTCTAGGGATGGGCACAAACCAGCTAATGAACTAAAGTTCATCATGAATTTTGGGCAGTTTGTGGTTTGTGAAGCAATATTTGCAAACTGAAAGAACTGCCATGAACTTTCACAAATTTTGATGCAGTTTGTGGCAGTTTGTGAAGAGATCTTCACAAAAAAGAGCTCTTTGGCTTAAATGGCTCAGAGCCATTTAACCCACTGCTTTCTGCTCCCCACGAAAAGCTGTGGGGAGCAGAAAGCAGGGGGCCATTTAAACCAAACAACTGAGCAGTGGAGAGACATTTAAACCTCTGCTTTCTGTTCCCTGCAAAAAGCTGCAGGGAGCAGAAAGTAGGGGTTTAAACTTTAAATTGCTCACAAAACAATATGGACCTGTTAGATTCACAAAATGGTGTATTGGTTTGTGGTTCGGCTTGTGATTTGTGCCCATCTCTAGCAGGTTCTGCAGTTCTGAAAAGGGTAAAGAGAACTGAGAACTTACAGGGAGGAACCTCAACTGGTGTTCAGCCTCTGCAAGTTAGCAGCTGTGCTCCCTGCTGGATGAGGCTGTCTGCTTATATATTTGCAAATAAAATGAATATTAAAAAGACAGCAATATTGCTAGTGCTCATCTAGGGCTAGATTAAGATATGCTGATGCCCTAAATTGTGTCACATTGAAGGGGCCCAAAAAATCATAATTTATTCCGTTTTAGTACTTTTTGGGTGCAATCAGACGGCGTGCTGAGAGCGGTTTAAATTGCTCCGGTCCCAATGCGTTATGTTTAACCTGGAGAATCACGATCACACTCACCTCCTTGTTCCGGATTACTGCGCAGCCACATCGCTCCCCGCCGTCCACACACGGGAGCGTGTGTTGGTATTTTTTTCCCTTCTTTATTTCAGTTTGGGCATGCGCACAGGCGGCCATTAAAATTTTCGCACGTGCGCAGAACAGCGATTTCCACTTTAACCCAACTGCTGTAACACTTCCCTTTAAACTTTTACCCCGAAACTGGCCTCCGTGAGATCCCGAACTCGTCTAACCAACAAAACTAGGCACCGTTTAAACATTGTTTTTAATAACATGGGAGCGGAGCTCTGCCTTTGCGCATACTGCCAACGCTAAAATAAAATGGCAGGCGAAGAGCGGAAGCCTCGGGCTTCCGAGCAGAAGTGGCTCAACGTCGCAGGAGCAATCAGACATCAGAAAAGTGTGGCTAGAACCGGAGAATCAGGAAAACACCACTTGGGGACCTGGTAACAAAATACTCCGTTTTAAAGGAGGGTTGAGCCAGAAAGCGACGGCTGGGGACGGTGCGCAGATGTTGGGTGTGTGAACATGGATATGAAATCCGTTACTGAAGCATGCCGAAAGTGGACTAAAGAGCCCGTCTGAATGCACCCTTTATTTATTTAGAGATCCCTCTGAATCTGAAGCACTAAACTGTAGCTTACTTCGCTTGTGCATAAATCCTGCTTATTCCTAGTGGTCACACAAACATTCACTTATTTATATTTTATAGCTTGCTTTCCTCCAAAAAAGGTTGAAGTGGCTTACAAACATAATGGAAGACATACCAATATTTTTAAAACATACAACAATCAACAAAATACAAAACAGAAAGTAGCAAAGCAGCATAAACCCTAGAACTTCTTTTCTCTCCGTGGAAAGAGCATGCAACAGCATCTTGTTGTAACACACAGTATTTTAGTCCATTCCAAATGTTCTTAAGCATTGGTTGTAATGGAGTGGGAATTACAGAAAGTGTGATCTACGATCTCTCTGGTTAGCCTGTTTTGAAAAGCATGTTAGGAGGCGTAGCTTTAATAAACTCTGAAATACAATTCAAAGACAGAGTTCTTATGGTACTTTGCAGGCTAATGAATGTTTTATGACATCACAAGGCTGATCTTTGTACTATTCGTACACTGTGACATCCCGCAAGGTCTTGCTGCCTTGCCCCTTACTGACAAACAAGGAAGATCGATCAACCCAGGGCTTTGTCTGGCCTTAGCATTCTGTCATTTACTGCACAAATGACAACCCTGAACAGCAGGCTGGCAGGGTGATGACAAACATTCTGTTGTGCTCCTCCCTTTCAGAACCCTTTCCAGTCACCACATGAATCGGCTAAACCAGAAATACAGGTAAAGAAAAAGGTGGAGGAGGTGGAAAGGCAAACATACCATGAGGGAACAGGAGGTCAAAGGGAAGCGAAGACAAGTTGTTTAAGAAAAACTGGAGCGGCTGATATTCTTCTTAGTGGGAAAATGGAAGAACCCGAGGTGGATATTAATACGCTCATTGATGAGATGGATTATATTCCTGGTCACTTTCACCTTGATATGAACTTGAATTTTGAATCCTCTTCACCTATGCATTTTCAAGGGAGAGACTTGAAGCTAAAACGAGAAAGCTTAACTTATGAATTAGAATTTGAAACTGGCACCCAGCAGTTTGCCATCAGAAGCCTCCTTGGAGTCTTTTCTTTCTACCTGGAGGACGTGGAGCATGCCAAGGAGATTTTCCTCCACATCACTCAGGAGGACCTGGAGAATCTGAATGCCTGGGCCAATCTGGCCTATGTGTACGACCGGCTAAACAATGAGCAAGAGGTGGCGAAGTGCACCAAAAGACTCTCCCACCTCATGGGCTTGGATTCCGATGACAAGCCTCCAGGGGATGCCCAGCTCAGAGCTGCCCGGTGCTTGGCAGAGCAGGGTTATGCATATGCATTTGATGTTGGACTGATGAGTGAAGAAGAGAAGCTGGGGAAACTGACAGCCGGCCTTGCTCTCTATGGGAAGGCTCTTGCTTATGGGAAGCAGGTCGGTAGGCAATCACACCTTTTACATTTCTATCTTATTCAGGGCAGGGTGGGGAGGAAAGTGGTTCAGACAGATAATGAGGGGTCGTAGCTCAGTGGTAGAATCAAATATCTTGCAAATACAAAGAGGACATTATTTTTTTCTTTTTTTAATTTTATTGAACAATATAACAATATTACAAATTGACAATAGAATGGAGTGCAATCAACAAAGAACAGCAAAAGATAAATACAAACAAAGCTCCAAATATCACACACATCTTAACAGATATAAATTAGCATTAGAACCTTCAATATAACACGGAAAGGAATAATTACAATTCATTCAATGTGAGCAGAGAAGAGGGATTTGATTCTTGTCTAGTACATAACAACTATTTGAGATGCCTGACCAATGCTTGTGTAACAAGGGGTACCATTTCCCTAGAAGACTGGACTGATTTGAGGGAACTCTAGACTTATCTAAATTGTTTGTAATCTTGTCCAGAATAAATAGGTCCCACAATTTTATGAACCATTCTTGCAGCAATGGAATTGATGTTGATTTCCAGTGTGAAGGAATAACACATTTAGCAGCAGTTAACATTAACATTAAAAAAATCTTGTTTTACCTTGGGAACGTTGCAATGATCCCACAAATTGAGAAGGTACCGTTCAGGAGTCTTGGGAATCCAATAACCAGTTATCTTATTTTCATCAGTTTTTTAAAGAGAGCCCAATAGGATGGACACTAAAAAAAGAGGACATTTCCTCTAAAAAGAGGATATCTGATCAACTGGGGAAAATGTAGGACGATGGGTCTAGATGTGGGCTGCTAATGGATCAATAAATACCTCCAAGCTCCCTACACCAATTTCTAGTAGTTTCAGTGTTCAGAGTAGATGCTTTTTGGTTCCTGTCTGCTATCTAAACAAAGGTGCAACCTTTTGTATGCCCAGCGTTTAGTTCTCTTGCGGGAATCACCCACAGAAAGGGCAGGTGCCTGGGAGGGAACTCTGTTTGCTGAAGCACTGAGGCTGGGCAGTGATTATCTTTCAATGGTCAACATGCAACCTTCTTAAGACTTGAAAAGAACCAAGAACAAGCATTTTAAAAAGCCACACTAAAAATTTATTGTGGTGTAGTTGCCATTTTGGCAAGGCCAAATAAAAAAATTGCTCTACACAAGTTGTTCAGAGCTCAACCTTTCTGTAAGTTGAGAAAATTCCATCTTTCAGCCATGGCTGCAGTCCTTATTTCAGTGAAGATCATTCATCTTGCTTAAAAGTAAATCCTGCCTGTTTCAATGGAATTTACTCCTAAGTAAATGTACATAGGACTGGCCAGGTGGGTAACCAGGGTAGTCTGCTGTTGGAAAACAAAACAGAAGTCCAGTGGCACCTTAAAGATAAACAATGTTTATTTCAGGATGAGCTTTTCAGAGACAGAGCTCACTTTTTCAGATATAACAGCAAGAAACTCTACCTCAAGGACTGCAGCCTTTCTGTTGCAGTTTGGCCAAATAATGACAGATTTGCTTTCAAGTGTGTTCTACATATTTTGTAAGTTGCACACCATTCTCTTGTCATGCATTTTGCTCATTTTTAAAGATGTATCTGTGAAACTGCACAAAGCAGTGTAATCACTGTATACATAGGGAACACTCGAACAGTTCCTTGGGAGGGGCTGTGGCTCAGTGGAAGAGCCTCTGTTTTGCATGCAGAAGGTCCCAGATTCAATCCCTGGCATCACCAGTGGAGAGGATCAAGTGACAGGTGATGTGAAAGACCTCTAGCTGAAATTCTGGAGAGCTGCTGCCAGTCTGAGGCCCCGGTCACATGGGAGGTTTTGGCCCGGAAGAGAGACGGATCGGGGGCGCAGCAAATGGGCGCGATCCCACTGCAACATCTGAGAATCGGCGCGCACCCGTTCCCGATCCATCCCTTCAGAATGAAAATGTGGTGCAAAAAAGAACCTACTAACTGGTAGGACTTACCTGAAGCACCGCAGCAAGCGCGGCCGTGAGATCGCCGGCGCGCTCATCTGCAGGAGCAATCGAGGCTCCCGGCCGAACTCGGCCGGGGAGGGAATGCGCCGCGGCTCGGGATCAATGTGATCCCGCCGCTGCGTGTTTCTTTTGGTTCTTTTCCCCCCGTGTGGCAGGGACCTGAGTAGACAATACTGACCTTGATGGACTGATCTACTATAAGACAGTTTCATGTGTGTTCATGTGAAGCAAACACCAATATCCAACCATGTTTTAAATGACTCTGCCTGTTCCACCTACCATGGGAAAATTTTATTCAGCCACAAATAAAGACTGCTGTTATAAAGGTCTTGGTAAGACTGACTCCAAGTAAGCCCTAAAAGAGGAAAAAGAAGGCAATATGATCTGCTGCTAATTTTTTGCCTTGTTGTAAAGAACATCAGTTATTAGCAGCTGATGTTCTGACTGTATGTGATGAAATTCACTACATATTTCCTGCTTAAAAGATTGGGATCCTGCCTCATGTTTACAGCTTGCACTTCAAGAAGGGTATTACTGACTATAGTGAGAACAGGACCAGTCGCTGGAATGCTTGGTTTCATGGAACTATTGTATTCACAAAGCTTTTTGCAGGAATGCAGCTCTTCCTTTTCTACTGACCTTTCTTTATTGCAGATCCCTTTGGAGGAGAAAAGAAGCTGGTACTTCACTATGGCCACACTGCACATCAGGTAAGACGGGACTCCAAAAAGAAAGGCAGCCATCAGATCATCTCTCAAAGGACCGTGGTAGGGCAATTAGAAGTAGTTTGATTGTATGGTGGAATTCACTTTGTTGCTGCAGCAGTTGGTCTGTGGTAGGCTCAGCAGGTCACTGGCACTGCACTATGAATGGGGTCCTATTCTTGTTCTGCTCCTGTTGGAGAGTTGTCTAGAAAGAGCCAAAAGATACATGAGGACAGTGTGTAATGTTCCACAGAAGCAATAATGAACAAGTGAGCTTAAGCAGTGGGCACCACCAGGGGTCATTTCCTGCTGGAGCACCCCAGAGCGGCACTCTGGCAGTAAGGAGCCCAGGCCCCCCCCCCCAGGAGGGGAATTAAATGCCTGACTTCCCAGCCTGGTTTTCTCCAGGTGCCCTGCGACTGCGGGGTACCTGGAGAAGATTGGGCAGGAAAGCCACCCAGGCATGTCACCCAGGCATATCTGCCCACCTCCCACCACGGCGGGCTAGCTGGAGAAGGAAGAAGAGGTGGGCAGACATGCCCTCCTTTCCCCCTGAGCCTCTCCGCCCCTGTGGCACAACTCTAGAGAGAAGGGGTTTAAAGCAAAAAAGGGGTTGTACTGCAGCAGCAGCACAATCTTTCCATTGTATTCTATGGGGCCATAGAATACAATGAAAAGATCGTACCACCCCTGCGGGGTGACTCTAGAGAAAAGGGGTTTAAACCATCTGCCGTCTGAAGTTTCTGTTTGGGCTGATCCATGTAGCTGTGATCCTGTAAGCAAAAGTGGTGATGAGTGTTTGGGTAGTTGTAGTAAGGGTTGGAGTGGCTGGATTTGCCAGAAGAGCTCTGTTTCCCCCACTTACCTGTGGGATCACACTGGCATGTCTTCAAGCCAATATCATGGTGATATTCTGCTAGCATATGTCCAAAGGAACCTGCTTTCTACACTGTGCATAATTACCCTGTGCCACCTTTGTGGGAGATACTACTAGCTCCCGAGAGAGGAAATACTGTTGAGCCAGCCAGTACCTACTAGTTGTGGGGACAGAAGGTAGACATTTGCAGCAATCAATGTAGAGTTTAGTTGCTATTCTAGGCAGTTTACAGGCACTAGGATTGTACTGTAATTTACTTAATTCAAGAACTACAGGATAAAATAAATTAATTCTACTTTTTCATGGATATATTCAACCAATGCTCATGCAAATTAAAGCATTCAGGTATTCATTAAAGAAAATACTTGTTTTAATTCATTTACAAAGTATTGCCTCTGTTTACTGTCAGACGAGAAACTAAATGTCTAGGACAGTGCCCTATAGCTTTGGTTCAAAGGGCCACAGTCAAGATCATATCAGGTATAAATTCAAAGGTAACTATTTGTTCTTTGATGAGGAATCATTCAAGAACCCAACCCATTTAGAACATATGAATCATAAATCTAGAAGTTCCACTGCACATAACAAATTATTTATTTAGAATGAGCTCACTGTTGATGATGAAAATATAAGGATAGGGTTACCCCCCACTGCTTAAATTCTGAGCCACTATATTATGAATAGATGTGGTTTAAATATAATGAGCCATGGTTTGTTATCTCATGCACAACTGTGGGGATCCTCAGATTCACATACTCTCTCCTCATCACTGCACACACAGCCTACTAATGAAAGACCACCTTTTTTTGGCAAACTATAGTTGCCAAAACGTCTTCCTTGCAATCTAGGATTCCAAAACAGGACCATGTTTTGGATCCTGGTTTGTGTGGAAGAGGGCAACCAAAAACCGTAATTCACTTGCAATGACTAACTATGATTTGCCACAAAAGCAGAATTTCATTAGCTGACTAAGTGCAAACAGAAGAAGGGAGGGAGTGCCCAAGACCAAGGATCCCTCAAGCTTGTTTCATGTAGCAAGAAACTTAAGTTTTTAATTATTTCCAAATAAAGTCATACTGTGTTGATTAGCAGCTGGTTCTACATATAACTGTGAACCAATCAGTATCAGATCAAAGACATCAAGAGATTTTATATATGGGTGTTCTCAGCTATTTTCCCCCACCATTTTTTTTTTTAGGTTGCCGATATGCGCTTGGGCGAAGCTTCGCCCCGGCGTTTGTTTTTTTTAAAAAAGAAAAGGCCCTTAGTTTAACTTTCCGGAGGAGTCCGGGACTTCAGGGAGGCCAGTTTGGGCTTTAAACTTTAAAGGTAAGTCCTTACCTTTAAAGTTTAAATGTAAGACGGGGTGTTTTGAGCATGCGCAAAGATCGCCATTCTATGGATGGCTGCCTATGTGCATGCTCAAATTGAGTTTTTTTAAAAAAACGCCGACGCCCACATCATGCGGGCATACAGCGATGGGCTCCGTTGTGAGGGAGGTAAGTGTATGGTGTAAATCCCCCAAATCTAGAACAAAATTCCATTCCCAAAGGTGGCGTCTCCCATCATCCCACCCCCATCCACCCCACCCCCCCAAACTCCTTTTTCAATCCCTCTCCATCCCAGCCTCGCAGTACAAAGAAGAGGCATCTTCCCCGGTGGAGCGACAGGACGGAGGCACTCTGGGTGCAGTAGTTTTCTCCCTGGCCACCTGACGGCATGGGCTGGCGCAGCCTGGGGCTTATAAGAACTACCCGCCCCACCAGGCAGTGCGGCTGCAAGCTTCGGTTGGTGCAATCTATTACCTCCCGCCGGCGGTGGTGGGAAGGCGAGACTTGAAGACAGTGATCGCGTTTCAGCCGGCATAAACTGCACTGGTTCCAACCGGTACAGTTTATGCCGGCTGAAACGGCGCGTCTGAACGCACCCATTAAGTAGTAACCCACCACACTGGCCATGCTGGTATCACATACACCTGGTTCCTAAAGTTATGTAATTTAAATATCCACAAGGACATCCATGACCCTGGGCAAATGCTTTCCTGACCATGCCTTAAGACCCTTAAGGAGTAATTTTTTTAACTGTTTATTTATTGTTTTTATCACACATATCAACATTTCAAATACAATACATTTATCATTACGAGTCACTTTCTATCTTCTCTAACCATCTTTTTTCAAATATCTCATATTCCTTTCCTTGCAAAAGTACATTTAATCTGTCCATCTCCGCTAATGACAACATTCTATCCAACAATTCTTCCTTGGAGGGAATTTTATCTCCTTTCCAGTATTTTGCTAGTAAGATTCTTGCCACAGTGAAAGTGTAACTTATTAAGTATTTGTTCTCGCTACTATAATTATTCGGGAGCATATTTAGTAGGGCTATCTCCGGTAAAAATGGTATATCTAGTCCTGTAATCTCTTTTAATATTTTACATATTTTAGTCCAATAATTTCGGATTCTTTCACTTCTCCACCAAACATGCATAAAGGTACCAACATTGTTCTTACATTTCCAACAATTTTTGTTAGCCTTTCCATAACACTTTGATATCCTATCTATAGTGCTTTTTCAATTTATCCTCTTCTTTCCTAATTTGCTTTGTCAGTTCATCATATTGCTTGCTTCTTTGTTTTATTTTCCAAGCTTCTTGATTTATAAACCAGCCTCTTAGAAAGGCTTTAAAAGTTTCCCATACTGTTTCTATCGCCATTCCCTTTTGTATATTTCTTTTTTAAAAGTCTGTTATCTCATCTTCTGTTCTGCTGGCAAATTTTTTATCTCTTATTAGGTTTTTATTTATTCTCCATTTTAGCATCTTGGGTTTGACTCAAAAAGTTAATATTATCTTACTATGATCAGCAAAGGTATTAGGAAGTATTTCTACTTCCATTATATCTGTTACTAATGTTGTTGAAATCCATGCCATGTCAATTCTAGACCATGAATTGTGTCTATTTGAGTAGAATGTATAGTCCTCTTTTTCTGAATTACATACTCTCCAAGCATCTACCGTGCTATATTCTTTGACTGTTTCATAAAACTGTTTTGGCAATATGTTTCCTGAGTTTTTGTTTTTAGCATGAGTTTTTCTATCTTTTTTCCTGTCCCATTCTGCATTGAAGTCCCCTATTAAGCATATTTCCGTCATCTCATATGTTATTAATAGTTTTCTTCGTTCTTCAAAGAATTTTTCTTGCGACTGATTGGGTGCATAGATATTTTTAAGCAATACTTAGCTTTGGTTAGTAGGTTTTCACTGGAGCGTCTTGCTGTTGACTCTGTCGGCTCCTGCTGTCTCGGCTATTGCCCTTCTGTGGGTTGGGTGTCCTCCACAGTCTTTGCCTCAAAGCAGCTTCAAAATTCACAGACAGAATTGCCTGTTCTGCCTGTTGTTTGAAGAAAGCTTTTTGCTTGAGTTCTTCCTCCAAAAGAACCCTTGGAGGGCGTTGAAAAGCCCTTAAAGACTATAAGGAATGAAGCATAAGCGAGCTGCTAGGTAACTTGTGTCTGCTCTCATCGGCAACCGGAAGCTCTCTCAAGGAGTAATTCTTCAAGAAGACATGATTTGATCATACAGACACTACAGTTACATTGCTCCAGCAGCTGTCAAAGAGACTGCTGAGGTCCATCAGTGGGGCCAGGACACTAGAAGCCCTCCCACTGTTGCCCCCCCAGCACCAAGCATACAGTGCATCACCTGCCCCAGTCTGTGAGTTCCTATCTATACATTGTGGCTAATAGCCACTGATGGACCTCTGCTCCATATGTTTATCCAGTTCCCTCTTGAAGCTGTCCATGCTTGTAGCCGCCGCCACCACCTCCTGTGGCAGTGAATTCCATGTGTTAATCTCTCTTTGGGTGAAGAAGTACTTCCTTTTATCAGTTCTAACCCGACCACTCAGCAATTTCATGGAGTGCCCATGAGTTCTTGTATTGTGAGAAAGGGAAAAAAGTACTTTTTTCTCGACCTGCTCTATCCCATGCATAATCTTATAAACCTCGATCATGTCACCCCTCACCCCTCAGGAGCTCCTTGCACCGAGTACACACCCAAGACTTCTGTCCAGTGGGCAGATAGTCATACATGTGACCGTGCAAAACACTGGATAGCCCCCAATCTCCTGCGGGCATTCTGGCTTCATAATTGCTTTTTTAAAACAATAATTATATATAATCCCCTTTGATTTCCCTGTAGAAGTCTACTTACCTTACTGGGAACCCAAGGAGACTAGGGCCTGGCTTTCTGGCTCTTCCTGAGCTTCTTACAGAGCCCCTAGTCTAAGAGTCCCTAGGCCAAGAGCCACAGGCCAAGAGCCTCACCCTTTGGCTCTCACCAGAGGCTCGTGCCTCTGGCAAAGTGCTGCCTTAAATAGAAGCTTCCCCTCAGAAGAGGGTGTGGCCTGCAGCTATGCAAATTCACCCAGTCACTCAATTACAGTCAAACAACGACCCTTTCACACCCTATCTCAGGCAGCCAGGACTCTGCAACAACTCACAACTCACCCACACACTCCCAAACACAGTACCCCACACAGTACCCTCTCAGCTAAATCGCCTCAGCTGAAAGTAAGTAAAAAACCCCCACTCACCCCTCTAGCAGCTCTATTTCCAGCTCCTTCTCAGAGCTCAGCTGGGTCAGCTCTGCTTCTGGCAAGATGCCAGAACTCCAGTTTGGGAAATTCCTGGAGATCTGGGGGTGGAGCCTTGGGAGGGTGAGGTTTGGGGAGGAAAGGGAGCTCAACAGGGTATAATGCCATAGGCTCCATCCACCAAAGTGGCCATTTTCTCCAGGGAAACTATCTGTATCATCCGGAGGGTAATTGTAATTCCAGGTAATCTTCAGGCCTCACCTGGAGGTTGGCAATGCTAGTTTCCCTGTAGGAAATGGCTGCTTTGGAGGCTATGGCATTCTACCTGTCTGAGGTCCCTCCCCTCCTCAAGTCCCACCCTCCCCAAGCTGTACCCCTCAAATCTTCAGGAACTTTCCAACCTGGAGTTAGCCTTGTGGGCGGTGGCCCTCTGCCAGGGCTGGTCATAGTGGAAGGGCTTGCAGCGGTCGCACTCGGGGACGGCGGTGTGGTGCTTGCAGTTGCAGACGAGATTGTCCTCGTGGTCGCGGATGCAGCGCGGGAGGCGTGCCCATTGCACTTGCAGCGGCCGCCCACCTGCAGGTCGGAGACGGCGTAGTAGTAGGAGTCACGGGCCAGCTCGGAGTCATCCTCATTCTCGTCGCCGAAGGTGTAGAGGCAGCTGAAGACCACTTTGATGTCGGTGGCCGTGACCCAGTCCTGCAGGACGGGAGAGTTGTCGAAGTCATAGGCTGAGGGCCATCCGTCGAGGGTGCTGAAGGCAAAGAGGCCACCGGCGAGGGCCGCCTTATGATTGCTGGGAGGGGAGGGGTGGATGCCTAGAGTTGGGAGGAGCGGAGCCAGAGCGGAGGTCTAACCCCACCTTATGGGTGCTCCGGCCGTGGCGAGGGCCCAGGAGGGGGTAGGAGGGGGGAGCAGAGGATTGGGGGAGGGGGCCCACAAAACCCGTGGGGAGGCCGGGCCCCGACGGACCCACACAGGCTACGGGCCTGGAATCCATTGGTTAAAGCTGCAGGAACTCCTTTTATCATTTTTTTGATTTTTTAACCCACCCAATTTTTATTTTTATTTTTTAAAGATTTCACAGTTTTCTGCAAGCCTGGGGCCTTTTCCAGGTTTGTAGAAAGATCTGTCTTGCCCATTCACAACTCCAGTTACTGAATTTAAGTATCCAAAGATATTCTGACTTCACTATTAGAATATAAAATGCCTACACATGTGGAGAAGGAAACAAAACAGCAGTTCCCTCTCTGTTGTAGATTGGATGGAATGTGGCTGAACAATGGTAATGATGAAGATAAAAGGTTGCCAGCCTTCAACAGGACGTTGGTTTTGCTTCAAGAAGTCCTCAAGTCTTCTAATTTAAATTACAGAGGTAAGAATAATCTTTGCAGTATGACAACAACTCTCTGTGTAGTTCACATCTTTGACAGGTTGTGTAAAACTATTACAGGCAACTTAGGAAACTAAGCTATTCAGCTACAAGAATGAATTATTTATTTATTTTTTATTTATTTTATTGTATTTATACCCCGCCCTCCCCGCGAACGGACTCAGGGCGGCTCACAACAAGGCACCGAGTGCAATCAACATACAAAATATATAATACAAGTTCAATGTTAAAACAGATTAAAATCAATACAATGGATGCACCTAAAAACTCCTCACTTGTTGCGTAGCAGGGGGGAAGGCTAGGTGCTGAAAAGGTGTTACTCGGCCACCCTAACGGTCTCTCTCTGTAAAGGGCGGTGGTACAAGTGGCCGTGGCGGCTCCTACTCATAGGCCTGGCGGAAGAGCTTCGTCTTGCAGGCCCTGCGAAACTGTACAAGGTCCCGCAGGGCCCTGATCACTTTCAGGAGCTCATTCCACCAGGTAGGAGCCGCCACTGAGAAAGACCTGGCCCTCGTTGCCGCAAGCTTGGCCTCCTTAGGGCCCGGGGTCACTGACCGAAGTGCTCTGTGACCCCGACCGAAGTGCTCTTTGGGGAATATATGGGGAAATGCGGTCCCTCAGGTAAGTCGGACCCTGGCCATGTAGGGCTTTAAAGGTAAGCACCAGCACTTTGAAGCGAATCCGGTATGCTATTGGCAGCCAGTGCAGCACTTTCAGCACAGGTCGGATGTGCTCCCAACTCGGGACACCCACCAACAACCTGGCCGCAGCATTCTGCACCAGCTGTAGCTTCCGGAGTAGCGACAAAGGCAGCCCCATGTAGAGAGCGTTACAGAAGTCTAGCCTCAAGGTGACCGTCGCATGGATCACTGTAGCTAGGTCATTGCGGTCAAGGAAAGGAACCAACTGCCTTATCAGCCGCAGATGATAAAAGGCCAATTTGGCAGTGGCCGCCACCTGGGCCTCCATCGTTAAGGTGGGGTCCAGGAGCACTCCCAAACTCCTAACCTCCGAAGCTGGCACCAAAGGTGCCCCATCGAAGGTCAGGAGTGGGAGCCCTAACCCCGATCCGGTCCGACTCAAGCACAGGACCTCCGTCTTTGCCGGGTTTAACTTCAGCCTGCTCAGCCTGAGCCACCCAGCCACAGCTTGCAGGGCCCGGTGCAGATCTTCTGGGTTGGAGTCCGACTGGCTGTCCAACATCAAATAGAGCTGGGTGTCATCCGCATATTGGTGACAACCCAGCCCATACCTCTGGACAATCTGGGCGAGGGAGCGCATATATATGTTAAACAGCATCGGGGAAAGTACAGCCCCCTGAGGCACCCCGCACTCAAGCGGGTGCCTCTGGGACTGCCGTTCCCCTAACATTACCCTCTGTCCCCGACCTTGGAGAAACGAGGCAAGCCACTGAAGGGCAAGCCCCCTGATCCCCATGTTGGTGAGGTGGTGGGCCAGCAGCTGATGGTCAACCGTATCAAATGCAGCCGACAGATCTAACAACAACAGCGCCGCCACACCGCCTCAATCCAGATGTCTACGGAGGTCATCAGTCAGAGCAACCAGAACAGTCTCCATCCCATGCCCCGGGCAAAAACCGGACTGGAATGGGTCCAGGACAGAAGCGTCATTTAGGTAACCCTGTAGCTGCAACGCCACCGCCTTCTCAATCAATTTGCCCAAATAGGGCAAATTGGACACCGGCTGATAGCTGGCCAATTCGGTCGGGTCTAAAGTTGTTTTTTTCAAGAGAGGGCGGACCATCGCTTCCTTGAGTGCCTCAGGGAACCGCCCCTCCGAGAGGGACTTGTTAACAATCTCCCTCAAGGCACCTCGAAACCTCTCATGGCCTGCTTTAATGAGCCAGGAGGGGCACAGATCAAGGTCGCATGTGGTTGGGCATACAGATACGAGTAACCTGTCGACTTCCTCCAGACTGAGCTGGTCGAAGCACTCTAAACCCGGACCCGAAGACGCACAATGGGCCTCGAGTTCACTATCTGTTTCAACTGTGGCGGGGAGGTCGCAGCGGAGCGACAAGACTTTATCCGCAAAATAGCTCACAAAAGCCTCACAGCCAATATCCAATTTTTTATTGTTTTGTCTGCCCTGTGGCAGAGCCGTCAAGGACCGAATTGTTCTAAATAATTGGGCCGGGCGAGAGTTAGCGGACACAACCCTGGCTGCGTAGAAATCCCTCTTCACAGCCTTGACTGCCATCTCATAGGATCTCATAAACATCCTATAGGATGCTCCTGTAGCCCCGTCACGAGCTTGGCGCCACCGTCTCTCTAACCGTCTTAACTCTTGCTTCATCAGCCACAGCCCCTGGGTATACCAGGGGGCCAGCCTAGAGCGAGGGCGCAGAGGGCGCCGGGGAGAGATCACGTCGATGGCTGTGGAAAGTCGACTATGCCAGTCATCCACAAGCTCATCCAATGAACCGCCAGGGGGCATCAGTTCCCGCAGAGCCAGTTGAAGCCGCATCGGGCCCATTTGGCTCCGCGAGCGAGCTAAAATCCGCTCGCCGCCTATACAGGGTTGGGGCGGGACATTCACACGGGCCTTCAGGGCATAGTGGTCCAACCATGGCACTGCATCAGCAGTGATCCGGTCCACTGTAATCCCCATCATGAAGACTAAATCGAGCGTGTGCCCCGCCTGGTGCGTAGGGACCGATACACATTGGGAGAGTCCCAGCGCCGCCATGGACGTCACTAGGTCCGTAGCCCGGCTGGAGGCCGCGTCATTGGCATGGACATTGAAGTCACCCAAGACTAATAGCCTAGGGTGCTCCAACGCCCAGCCTGATACGGCCTCCAGCAGGGACAACAGGCAACTGGCCGGTGCGTTAGGCGGCCGGTACACCAGCCAGATTGCCACACTCTCCTCGGCCTCCAGCAACAGGCTGACACACTCCAAGCCCGCAATCTCCAACGTAGGGAGTGCCCTGAAGGAGTAAGCCTCCCGCACGAACATCGCCACTCCTCCCCCCCCCGTCCCCTAGTCCGTGATTGCTGCAGGACCGAGAACCCCGGTGGGGCAAGCTGGAAGAGCGCTACGGTCTCCCCCTCCCGCACCCAGGTCTTGGTCATGCACGCCAGGTCAGCTTGATGTTCTATGACAAAGTCCCGAAGGACTGTTGTCTTGTTATTAATGGACCTGGCGTTGCACAGCACCAATGACGGAGGGGGGATTCCTAATCCTAGCCCCACTGCTGACATCCTTTGGGATGGGACGCAGACTGGAAGGACACCGAGCCCTCTTGTTTCTCAGTTTCCTTCCTTTATCATTCCACCTGGTCCCACCGCTGTTCTTTCCCCTCCCAAAGAGCACCAGAATCTGCTGTGTTAGCATCATTGCAACGGCCAGTCCACGCCAAAGCACCAGACTACCAACAGCACGCTAAACAGTTGATCTCCTAATGCTATTGCTATAGCCCACTTCCCTCCCACCCTACACAAATAATCCCACAATCTGCTATATCACTCAATTGACACTACAATTGACTAATTCGTGCCAGCAACCTATATCGCCTTGTTGTTGTTCAGTCGCACAGTCGAGTCCGACTCTTCGCGACCCCATGGATCATCTCCCGCCAGGCCCTCCTGTCTTCCGCCGTCCTCTGAAGCTGGCTCAATTTCATGTTCGTTGCATCGATGACACTGTCTAACCATCTCATCCTTTGCCGTCCCCGTCTTCTTTGACCTTCAATCTTTCCCAGCATCAGGGTCTTCTCCAGTGAGTGCTCCCTTCTCATTTGGTGGCCAAAGTATTTGAGCTTCAGTTTCATTATCTGGCCTTCCAGGGAACAGTCAGGGTTGATTTCTTTGAGGATTGACTGATTTGTTCTTCTTGCAGTCCAAGGGACTCTCAAGAGTCTTCTCCAGCACCATAGTTCAAAAGAATCTATTCTTCGGCGCTCGGCCTTCCTTATAGTCCAGCTCTCGCAGCCATACATGACTACTGGGAATACCATTGCTTTGACCATGCGGACTTTTGTTGGCAGGGTGATGTCTCTACTTTTTATCATGCTGTTTAGGTTCGCCATCGCTTTCCTCCCAAGGAGCAGGCGTCTTTTAATTTCATGGCTGCAGTCACAGTCTGCGGTGATCTGGGATCCCAGGAACGTGAAGTCTGTCACTACTTCCACGACTTCCCCTTCTATTTGCCAAGGAGTGATGGGGCCGGATGCCATGATCTTAGTTTTTTTGATGTTGAGCTTCAAGCCCACTTTTGCGCTCTCCTCTTTTACTCTGAGCAAGAGGCTCTTTAGATCCTTTTCACTTTCAGCCATTAGAGTGGTATCATCTGCATATCTGAGGTTGTTGATCTTTTCCCCAGCAATCTTAATTCCCGCTTGTGATTCATCCAGGCCAGCATTTCGCATGATGTACTCTGCATATATATTAAATAAGCAAGGTGACAGTATACATCCTTGTCGTACTCCTTTTCCTATGCTGAACCAATCAGTTGTTCCGTATCCGGTTCTAACTGTCGCTTCTTGGCCCTTATACAGGTTTCTCAAGAGACATGTGAGGTGGTCTGGTACTCCCATCTCTTTAAGGACCTGCCATAGTTTGTTGTGATCCACACAGTCAAAAGCTTTAGCATAGTCAATGAAGCAGAAGTAGATATTTTTCTGGTACTCTCTTGCTTTCTCCATAATCCAGCGAATGTTGGCAATTTGATCTCTAGTTCCTCTACCTCTTCGAAACCCAGCTTGTACTTCTGGTAGTTCTCTATCCACGTACTGTTGAAGCCTAGCTTGTAGGATCTTGAGCATGACCTTGCTAGCGTGTGATATGAGTGCAATTGTGCGATAGTTTGAACATTCCTTGGCATTGCCCTTCTTTGGGATTGGAATGTATACTGACCTTTTCCAATCCTGTGGCCACTGTTGCGTTTTCCAAATTTGCTGGCAAATTGAGTGCAGCACTTTAACAGCATCATCTTCTAAGACTTTGAATAGTTCAGCTGGAATACCATCACCTCCACTAGCTTTGTTGTTAGTAATGCTTTCTAAGGCCCATTTAACTTCACATTCCAGGATGTCTGGCTCGAGGTCAGTGATTATACCGTCGTGGTTGTCAAGGACATCGAGGTCTTTCTTGTATAGTTCTTCTGTGTATTCTTGCCATCTTTTCCTAATCTCTTCTGCTTCTGTTAGGTCCCTACCGTTTTTGTCCTTTATCATGGCCATCTTTGCATGGAACGCTCCCTTGATTTCTCCAATTTTCTTGAAGAGATCTCTAGTCCTTCCCATTCTATTGTTTTCTTCTATTACTTTGCACTGTTCATTCAGGAAGGCCTCCTTATCTCTCCTTGCTGTTCTCTGGAAATCTGCATTCAGTTGGGTAAATCTTTCCTTTTCGCCTTTGCCTTTCGCTTTCCTTCTTTCCTCTGCTATTTGTAAAGCCTCATCAGAAAGCCACTTTGCTTTCTTGCATTTCTTTTTCTTTGGGATGGTGGTGATTGCTGCTTCCTGTACAATGTCACGAACCTCTGTCCATAGTTCTTCAGGCACTCTATCTATCAAATCCAGACCCTTGAATCTATTCTTCACCTCTACTGTATATTCATCAGGGATGCGATCTAGGTTAAACCTGAATGGCGTCGTGGTTTTCCCGATTTTCTTCAATTTAAGTCTGAATTTTGCAATGAGTAGCTCATGATCTGAACTTAAAATAATCTACCTGGCACTCACAACCTCAACATTCACCCCTTAAGCAGAAAACTCCTCCATTACTTCATTCACTCATGCATCCAGCCACTCATCACTAGCCACTAAAACTACCACGATTGGTTCAGTCCTCCTAACTGCATCCATGTCCATCAGGGAAAGCCAGGGAGCCCAGTGGGATCGTTTCTCCACTTGTTGACTGATCTTCCACAAGTCCTCCACTAGGGACACCAGCTGCCCAGTCATGAACTCTGGCTGGTCTACTGCAGGCCCACCACCAGGGGCACCTCGTCATTGTTCTACAAAGTTCCGGTGCTCCGCCCTCTCCCTGGCCGCAGGCCGGTCTCCCTGGACCTTCAAGGGATAGCTGGCTCCTTCCAACCCACAGGCTCAGAGGCCGAGAACCACAGCCTGTCCGCAGCCTCTGTCTCACAGCGCCCGGCAGTCCTTCTCCACTCCCATTCAACTCCTCGCGCCGTCCTCCGCCTTGAGGCCTTGAGGCAGAAGAGCTATTTACACACAAACATGTACACACTCCTATTGTTCATCTTGCTGTAACTCTCACAGCCAGTGAGTCAAGCTGCTGTTAATTTTCAAAAGTGGCTTGTATCCTCAGCTGGGAAGGAAGATATATTATTTTTTCCTTAAAGGAAAAAGTTTCCCTTGCTCGAGAGCTAGTCAAATCTGACTCTAGGGCATGGTGCTCATCTCCGTTTCCAAGCCGAAGAGCCAGCGCTGTCTAAAGACATTTCCATGGTCATGTGGCAAGCATGACTAAACGCTGAAGCGCATGGAATGCTGTTACCTTCCCACCAAAGTGGTACCTATTTATCTACATGCAATTTCTTGCTTTCGAGCTGCTAGGTTGGCAGGAGCTGGGGCCAGAGAAAGGAGCTCTGTCACATGGCACTAGGGTCTCAAATTGACAAACTACAGACCTTCCGGTCTGCAGCTCAGTGTCTTAACCTCTGAGCCACCACGGCCCCTTTTATTTTTCCTTACATGGATATAAAATTCTCTCAGGGATCTTTTCCACCATAACTCTCCGTATTTAGTTTGAGATTTCTTTCGACCGTTATACCCATAGAGGTGAAATTTCTAAATAATTTTCTTGTGCCTTGATATACTCTGAATGCTATTTTCCTTTTCATTTTAGCTCTATCTTGGTGTTATCTTGGAATATTACTTGAAAGGACAGAGACATTCTCAACTACTCCTGTGGGCATTCAGGACTGTGGTTACTCTGAGAAGGGGCCCCTTGACTGCTTTGGAAAGGTAGATTTACTCTGTTGTGACACAGAGAAAATGGCCATTCAAACCAGCAGCATTCCAGGATTCCTCTACTTTGGGACATGGGCTTGGAGGAGCTGAGAAAAAACAGAATGAAGCAAATACTGTGGGCTATGATGACAGGGATTGCTGTTCCTGTGTATACAGTCATGACACAAATAGACTCCCCTGCATGCTGCAAAACAGGAACTCGCCCGTGTGACTATAGTTATTGAACATACTTCCACCAGCTGATTAATAGAAACAATGCAGCTAAATACAGCTTAAATCTTTATCTAGACATGTCAACAAAACTCTTCAGCAGCCAAATGTAAAAGTTTATAGAGAATTGTGCAAACATTCCTGTAATCATTACACAATTAAAAAAACCCCACTTGTTCAGATATTCAGAAGTGATATCTCCCATTTTTAAAAATTCCTGTACAGATATGGCAAAGGAACAAAACACCTCAAATTGTACGTCACAACTTGTGTATTGCTACTTACCCTGTTAATATGAGGACTTTTCTTCTCTTTTATTAATTTATTTTCTGCTTCAAAGTAGACATGATCCCAAATCCAGTTCTCACTCATTATTAGTCCTTTTAAGGTTCATAATCTGTAGCTGTGTCCACTATGTGAACATAACCAAGTAAATTTCTCCTATTTATAACCAGCTAATCCATACAGCAGTTGACAAATCACTAATAAAAAAATGTCTTGTGGATGTGTTTGCTTTGAAGGCAATAGAAATAGCAAGAGATAATCCACCTGTTCTAAACCGTCTGGCAAAAATCTTCCACTTCCTTGGTAAGCAAGAGATGGCAATGGCTGTCTGCAACATGGCATTAGATGCGCTGCCAGACCCAGCACTCAACTGGCAAGCATACTGTATGCGTGCTAAGGTATGTAACATGCTTTCAAAATAATGTTTTCCTGGTGTACCAGTGTTGTTGAAGAGAACAGCTTTGTCTGTGGTAAAGTTCAAAAGAAGCAGTTTTTTCCTGGTAGCCTTGTGCTTTCTGGGAGGTCCAGTCAATCCCTGCTTTGACAGTATCAGCTATATTGGCTTCTGGCTAGCCACAGATCCACATCTCAGGAAAAGAGCCTCTTTTTGTGTCTTGTCCCAATGAGAGCACTCTTTGGGGTTCCAGTGTTGGTAGGTTTATTAGGGAAAACACAGAATGAGACATTAAAAGCAAAGAAGCCAATGATTTAATATCCCTGTTTTTAGATGCTAATTAAACTATATTTGCGTGACCTGGAACGTGTAAAGATGGGCTTGGGAGGAATGCCAGACCAGAAAAACCTCTCTGATGCCAAAGCTGATCTTGAGAGTGTCATGGAGGTACATCCATGCCTGAAGACATACCTTGACCTCGGCCAGGTAAGTGAAGGCATCCACATTCTTCAGACTTTTTCATTGCTTATACTTCCTTGTTATATTTTTAGAAACAGGGACAATAATGTGTGGATATTATGTTGTGATTCCAAGAGACAGTAGAATACTGATGGAGCACTTATGTCCCAGCAGGGATATTGCAAAAATGTAGTCAAAGTGGCCAAATGATCAGCATGACTGTGGACATTTAAAACCATAAATAACACCTAAGAAATATATCTCTTCAGGGATAAGCAATATAGGGTTAGCAGACAATATCAAGTCCACCCCTCCAGGATATGGCCCCCTACTCTGTGGCGACTCATGCACACTTTAAGTATTATGGAGCAAGTGCAGGAACTAGATAGCGGCTTGGATCTACTGGAGGATGAACACAAATGGAAGGGGGGGTCACCAGTTCTCCCCTCCTGCTTCAGAACTCTGACTCTCCCCTTATGTTGCTCTGGGGAGGGTTTCGGACCCACAGAAATAGCATTTCAGGGGGGCTTTGGGGCTACAAAAGGCGGGAGAAGGTGAAGAAATCATGCTGTGCTGCCATAAATGATTCAGTTTGCCAAAATTCTCCAGTAGACACAAACCATAGCCTATATGCTTTTTGTAGCTTTGCTGTCCTAATAGACTTCAATGGTTGCTAGTGCTGATTTACATTAAGCCTCAATGTTGCATATCAAAGATAACATATCGCTTCATTTGAATCCACCAATTTTTTAAAAAAATATTCTAATAGGGACTTAGTTCAGATACTTTCTTCAAATACAGAGATCAATTATCCTAGAGGAAATGGCAGCTTCAGACAGGAGACTGTATGGCATTGTACCCATGCTGAGCTTCCTCCCCAAACTCTCCCCTTCCCAGCACAGTCCCCAAATCTCCAGAAAGTTACTAAGCCAGAGTTCACAAGTTTAACATACCCTCCAACCCCCTTTTTCTGCTCTTCTTTTAGATCTATTATTACATGGGAGTCGATGCCATGCAGGAACTTTTCCTAGTGGATGAAAATGCCCTAAATACTGCCCTTGTGTTCTTTGCCAAAGCTATGGAATTGGACCTGGGGAATGTCCTACCTGAAATCCAGTTACTGAGGGGAAAATGTCTACGGATCAAAAATGAAGAGCTGAATGCCCTTAAATGCTTCAAGCAGGCAATAGAGTTGGATGATGTGGGTTCTGTTTATACGGAGAGCTTCCGGTGTCTGATGGAAACACTGCTTAACTTGTTCAGTCAGAAGAGGATGAACACTGAGATGCTGATGCAGGAGGTAGAGCTTTGGGTAAAGAAGGCTGAGGGAAAATACCCAAAGCAGCGACTGCAGCTGGAGCTTAAGCTGGTGTGCCGTCATTACACAGCTGAGGTGCTTGAACTGTCGAAAGCCATGGTAGCCAGAGGGAAGACTGAGCTGGTGAAGCTGCTTTTTGAAACAATGAAATGTGACTTTAACAAAGGCAAACTGAATGAACGCTCACTCTCTTTTTGAACAGCTGGTTTCTGGGTCACAGTACAAAACAAAGTTTTCACTAAGTTTGTTCTTTTAGTACAATAATTCATTAACTTTGTTTGGCAGAGAAACTATTTTTATGGAGAGCTGTGTAATAAAATTAGGTACTCTCTGGAGAGTATGCTGCTGTATACACAGAAGAACTGAGGTATGTGGATTGATACTCATAAATGTCACCTGCCATTTTTAATTCACTCAGAAATGTGGATGTTTAATCCTTCTAAGAAAGACAATATCACCTCATTGTTGGACTTTCAATTATTTTTGCCTCGTATCCTCCGGGCTTCAGCTATTAAAACTGATGTCCAGATGACCCAGATCAGTTCTCTTGGAGACAATGGCTGCTTTGGGCAGTAGATTCTATGGCATTATACCCTGCTGAGGTCCCTCCCCAGTTAATTTCTGTCGTTAGAAGAATCAGATCATTGTGAACTTGGCACTGAGATGAGCATATGCAGACCTGTTCCCCTTATGTGAGAGGGTTTTATAGTATACTTCAATCCTATTTACTACAGATAAACACTAGTTTTGGTACCTCTGTTATTGGTATGCCTGTTTTGTCCTTTGAAGAAATGTAAAGTGTTTTTAATGTGAGTTGCTTCTTTGTTTAACTCTCACTCTATGGGCTCTCTAGAAGATAAATCTATGAGGCAGGGGGCCCAGAGTAGATCTTCTTAGTATGTACAGCACAAGCATGTAAATATTACATACTTTCATGGATACCAAAGGTAAATGTACTGCTCTCCTTTCATTCCGCCCTCTAAGAACATTGCTTTGTATGTTTGTATTGCAACCAATGCTCCCTCTAAGCTGTGGAGTCCTGTGAGCAAAAATTCTACTTTCTGAGCTACCGGCATTAAAGTTGTGATCAGGTGATTTGGCTACTGCATAAATTACTTTGCTCTGGAGCCATCCTTTCTGAGCTAAGACAAAAATGTGTGAGCCAGAGGCTAAAAAACTGTGTGCTAGCTCACACTAACTCAGCTTAGAGGAAACACTGGACTATTCTGCGATAAGTATAATCAAATACATTGTGAGAGTAAACACTCTATTGATTAAATGTTCTTAATATTATTTTTAAATGTAAATATATACTTTGGAGGTTAGTGCAGGACACATGTACAGTGAGTAAAGAATCTTCAACAATGCACACTAGTGGAGGAAGCAAAGACTCAGGCTTGGAAATTCTTGGTATGGGAACGGGGTGTTTTCAGGGCAGGCTCCTGTTTCATCTGTAAAAGGACCACAGGCATGAAATCCTTCAAGCTTAAAAGGCAGGTGTGCCTGCAAGGGCACTGAAGCCTATAACTTGCTCCTGTGACAATCCATGGCCTGATCCAACAGTGTGATCTGAGGAAAAATTCAGTGAACAGTATGAGGACTACATCAAACATTATCTTTTTAAGGGTATACACATTAAATGTTTTACTTCACATATAAAAATGTAATCTCTGAATACAACAAATATGTTTATTTTTTATTGTGAATATGTTTATTCATTTCTGATAAAAAAGGCTGTATTTTCAGTTTACTGTAATGATAATGTTACAAGTTGTGGTTGAATATTTCCTCAAAGAGACACATGTGTGCAATCTCAAGTCATGTTTCTAACTCATTTATTATACTGGGAACGGATACAGCTCCTTCATGAGGGTATACTCTGTGATAAACTGATTTTTCACATGAAGATGTTGTCAGACATACCACCTAGTCAGGCCAGGTTAAAGACAGGCAAGCCTAAAAGAAGTTTAGCAGGTGTGTTCACTATTGTTTTTCTCATTAGTGGGGAGCAAAGCAGCTTACTTCATTCTCCTCTTCCACTTTGTGATCTGTACAGCAACCCTGCAAGGTAGGTTAGGCAGAAAGTCTGGGGCTGGGCCAAAATCACCCAGGCAACTTCCATAGGGAGGTTCCGGCTGAACAGGAGCAAGCAGCCAGGGCTAGTGAAGTAATACCAGTCAGGAGGCATGAAGTCACCCTGAGAGTGCTGGCAGGCCTAGGGTTGCCAGCAAAGACAGATTGATGCAAAGGAGGATGGGAAAGTCTCCATATCTCTGTTTTACCTTAAATTGGTTTTGATGCCAGCAGAGTGAGAAAGTGCCAGAGGCTCTGGATGGGTGCCCCATGGTAAATGGACCAAACAGTTCCTAAAGATTTTCCAAAACACTACTCTGTCGATAATTCATTTTCTACACTCACAGCATCCCTTGCCAGAATGCAACACATCCCCAGCACTTTGAATTAGCACCAGAGCTTTAAGAGCTCTCCAGCTGTCACCTAGAGATCGACAACAGCAAATTGATGCTGAGTGCCCAAGGCCAGGGCACCCACCCAGAGCCTTTTTCTAGAGCTCGTTGTATTTGTTTCCACAATGGGCTTTATTCCTAGTCCTGAATAAAAGTAAATAGGCTTATTTTAAAAAGTGGAAGGTCTGCCCCAGTGAGTCGAACAAAAGGAACCACAGGCTCTGGCAAAAGAAATGTAAGACAAGAATTAGGCATGCAAAAAGAGAGTTTGAGGAACACTATTCTGCAAAAACACAGCTCTAGAGCACGGATCCTCATGGATCCTCAGGGTTTCTGTGTTTGGTCACCATGAACACACCATCAAATCAATATCATGTCCATGGCAACAGCCTGCACCACAAAAGTCATGGATCCATGGCTTTATGGCAACACCATGAAGCCACATAATGGTTCTGAAGCACGGATCCTCATTGATCCTTGGGGTTTTTCCAATGGGTCACCCAAACACAACATAAAATGACATAATATGTCCATGGCAACAGCTTGTACCACAAAGATCATGGATCCATGGCCTTGTGGCAACTCCATGCTTGAAAAACATGGTTCTGAAGCATGGATCCTCATGGATCCTTAGTGTTTCTATCTTGGCTCACCATGAACTCAGCATCAAATCACATATCATGTCCATGGGCACAGCTTGCACCGCAGAAGTCATGCATACATGGATTCATGGCAACACCATGAAGCCAAAACATGGTACTTAAGCACGGATCCTCATGGATCTTCGGGGTTTTTGCAGTGGGTTGCCCCAAACACACCATCAAATCACATAACATATCCACAGCAACAGCTTGCACCACAAAAATCAAGGATCCACAGCTTCGTGGTGACACCATTCTGCAAAAACATGCTTCTAGATCCTCATGGATCCTCAGTGTTTCTGCAATGGGTCACCATGAGCTCACCATCAAATCAATGTCAATGTCATGTCCATGGGCACAGCTTGCACCACAAAAGTCATGGATCCAAGAGCTTCGTGGCAACACCATGAAACCAGAACATGGATCCTCCATGTGTTTCTGCATTGGGTCACTCCAAACATACGATCAAATCACATATCATCATGTCCATGGGAACAGCTTGCACCACAAAAATCATGGATTAACAGTTTTGTTGTGACACCATTCTGCAAAAACATGTTTCTAGAGCACGGATCCTCGTGGATCCTCAGGGTTTTTGTGTCGAGTCACCATGAACACACCATCAAATCAATATCATGGCCATGGCCACAGCTTACACAACAGATGTCATGGATCCAGGATTTTGTGGCAACACCATCAGCAAAAACATGGTTCTGAATCATGGTGTTTCTAGAGCACGGATCCTCGTGGATCCTCAGGGTTTTTGTGTCGAGTCACCATGAACACACCATCAAATCAATATCATGGCCATGGCCACAGCTTACACAACAGATGTCATGGATCCAGGATTTTGTGGCAACACCATCAGCAAAAACATGGTTCTGAATCATGGCTCCTTGGGGGTTTTGCGTTGGGTCACCAACCATGAATATACCATCAACTCA